ATCCGTGCTGGGACTTTAAAACCTGCTCTACAGTCTGCTGAGGATGACGATCTGTTTTTCATACATTTGGCTTGGCAAGCAAGGACAGAAACCAACCACACATGCTGCCTTTTAGCACTTCAAAGAAACTTTCCCATACCTGTGAACTAAACCAGGCATTTTGCCCTGTTTCTTGACAAGTTTGATTAATTTGCACTGGTGTTGATTGTGCTACTGGTACATGGCTACTGATATCGAAATTAAGGCATGTTTAGTTGTTACTGTAGTGTAAACAGGCATAGGAAACAACTTGGAGTGTTCTCCTGTGTTTGCAGGCAAAACCCACCAGGGTCCCTGCTGCAGAATCTGGTCTGTTTCAGACAAGTGCCTAAGAAGCACCAAAACAGTCCAAAGAAGTGATTCACTGCTTTTTTTTGAGAGTTGAATATTCAGCCTGACTACTAATTTCAGATTCAAAATTCAGCTTTAAGCGAACAGATAAAAATGTGCACCACTGCTAAACAGAAACTCCACTTGTGCTTTCCTTTAGTAGAGCTACCTGGAATACAAGTACTGTCTCATCTTCGTTGCTCCCCAAGCCCTTTTTCTGTTGCGTTACAGCCCTCTCCCCTGTCCTTTCCTCAGTGTCTTCCATTTCAATGTTTCCCTGTACTCTACCCATCTCAGCCCTCTGAGATGTCTCCCACCCATCCTTCTTCCCTGGTTTTCTTTGTGATCTCTGGTATTCGTCTCCCTCTGCATCCCTATTCCCAGGCGCCCTCCCACCTGCCTGCCTCCCGGACTCGTACCGGCTCTGCACTCTTTTAGCCTCTGTCTGTTACGAAAGCTCAGCCCAGTTGTCTAAAGCAAGGAGGGAGTTTCACATCGGTCCCTTACTTTCCACAGTCCGACACAAAAAATACCAGCCGCAGGTATGATTTAGGTCAGGTAGACATCCTAACATTCTCCTCAGCCCAGAAGTTGAGATTTGTAGAACAGGTTTTATAAAAAGCTGAATTATTACAATCATGGTCTTTATCAAGCCATAGGCTTCATCCTACTTCCCCACTTCATTAAACTTGGCTAGCAGCTCCAGTCTTTTTGGTACTTGGTATTCTTGTGTCTAATCGCACACACAAAGGTAAATGCTAGAATGAGTTCCAAACTAAGTGTACTCACAAAAGATCACATAATGAAATAATAGTAAATGGGTCTATTTGTGAATCTGTATGTAGCTAAAGGCCACACTGAGTTGCTGTATTACTTTGCTGAGGTGCAAAACAGAAAAGCAATCATCAAAACTAAAATCATAATAAAATACCTTTACTATATCCAGGTTTTGATATGATTTACTCAATTTATACCTGCTACCGACTGTTTATAATTTGTAAGCTGCTTCTCAGATGCCCTTTGATTCATGGAAAAGTACTTGCATGCGGGAAAAAGGATCAGGAAAATTATGGACTAGGCATCTCTGAAAAAACATGACCTGATCATAACTCACGTCCTCCGCTCTTTCCCCTTCCACCCATAGCAGTTCAAACGAGACAAAGCAGATGCGGCTCTATAGGATCTCTGTATGCAAAATGCCCATAAAATACTCTGACTACTGATGTCAGAATAGGAACTAAGACGTTCCTATTCTAAAATGCTTGGGTTTAGCAATTGTCCCCTGAAAGAGACGCTGGTATAAACCTGCTGAAGCCAACAGACAAATAGATCCCTATCTGAATTTGAGGTCGTGATCTGTAAGTCAGAACTATTAATCAATCTTTCTGATCGTTAAAAATTAACCTTCAGTTAACCTTCAGTGCGTGTCTGGAGACATGTCATACCTAGAACTGGTGCAGTTGCTCACGTGTTGGAATGGCAATTCTCCTCCAAAAATCTGGTCTGACCAGTCCTA